CATTTCCTCCACTTGGAGTTCTGACGTCTCCCCGGGAATAAGGACTGTGAAGACGTAGGGGACCCTGCTCCCTCGTGGGGAGCTCTGTGTGCATGAGTGTGTGTATGTTTGCCAGTATGTGTGTGTGTGTGTGTAAGAGTGTGTATGTACATGAGTGTGTGAGTGTGTGAGAGGGTGTGCATGCATGAGTGTGTGTTTGCAAGTGTGTGGGGGTGCTCCCGGGAAACACCAAAAACTCAGGGTACTGTGCTGTACCTGGAGGAGTTCCGTAGATTTGGAAGGCAGAAATGAATGAATGAATGAATGAATGAGTGAATGGTTGTTATGTGAGCAGAAGAACCCTGACTGGAAGGAGGGCGGAGGGCACCCTCCTCCCCCGAAGTCATGAGCTAGCCCTGGGCCTGCTCCTGGGCCCTCTCGGGAAACTTGCATCAGGTCTGGAGCCTCAGAATGTCCAGGCTGCTTGAGTTGAAAGCTTTGCCTAAGCATTTAAAGCACTGAATGAGTTGACTCAAGGAAATGCTGAGGACAGGAACAGTGGTTATTAATAAATCATAACAATAATTATTTTCCTTTCAAGACACTCAATTGGCCTTATAAGAAATAGTATCCCTGTGATTGATCAGCTGGAGGAAAGCCTGGGCTGGTCAGGCCGCCTAAGCAGCATCTGCCGGTGAATGAGGCCGTGGGAGCTGGTTCTTCCTGTCTTCTGAGGGGGCCTGGGGCAGGGCAGGCAGGGATCTACTCAGAGACCAGTGCAGGACAGATCCAACCCCGTTGCCCCAGGAAACAAGCCCCAAGCCCCCTGCCTGCCTCCTCCATACCTGCAGCCCTCGGGAGGGTGGTGCCCAGGGCCTAGGAGGGAACAGCAGATCACTCACACTGCAGTCATTTATTTCTTGCTGGGCACCTGCTGTCCACTAGGCTCAGCTTCCACTGTTCTGTGCTCTGAGAGCTCAGCCTTCCTGGGCAGACAGGCCTGGATAGAGACTGTCTCTGCAGAGATGGCCCAGGGCCCGGCTGAGGGCTCCCCAGCATTCCTCAGTGTTGGGGTGCACTGATGAGTCACTGAATTTTTATTGAGCTCCTACTATGTGCTGGCCCTGTTCAAGATGTTATAGGGGGTATGGAAGGAAGGGCAGGTGTATTCTGGGTCCTACCGGTGCTATGCTCTTGTCAAATGAGACCCTTTCAGGTCCTGTTGTACTAGAAGACAATAGACAGAACCAGAGATGTGCCACTAGAACATTCCATAAAGCCAGATTCCCCACTAGAGACCCCAGAAGGTCTTTAGAAGGGTGGAAGGACCTACACAGTCTTTACAGATTCCCTAAGAAGAGGAAGAGGAGAATATGCAAATAGACAGGAGGCCTGAGCCAACGCACCCCCTCCATTCTTCACCCACAGGGGCCCAGGTTCTGTCAAGGCTCATGTTAGAAATCTCAAGTAATTAAAAAACAAAAGCCTAGCACTGCTGACTTCATTTTACCATTGATCCTCAACCCATTAAAGGAATTTTAGAGATGAAGAAACTGAGACCCAGGGAAGAAAACTCAGTAACTAGGGGACACACCTAGTCCCCTCTCCCACCTCAGGCCTCAGTCAGACTCCACCAGAATACTGGGGTTGGGGTAACCCGAGTGCCCAAGCCGCTAGGGCCCCATATAGCCCCGGGCCCTGGAAGGGGAATCAGTCAGTGTCCGGTGAATCCAGCCCTGCTCCAGCCCCTGTACAGCTTGAGATGGGACGAGAGTTGGATGGGCAGGTACAGTCCTGGGAGCAGAGAGGTCCTTCCCGATGCTGTGGGGTCGTGTTGGGCACAGGCCCCCAGCTGTCTGCCAGCAGCTCGGCCCAAGCGCTTCTTCCTGCAGAACAGCTGAGGTGCAGAGCCGAGGCGGAGCGCAGCGCAGACCCCGGGCGTGGTGCTCTGGGCACCTGGAAATGGAAGGGCAGCTTTTCTAGGGCTGCAGGGACACTTCTAGAGAATTACTAAGGCTCATTCAAGAGGCGAAGGGGGTCCAGGTGACCAGGAGAACTACAAGGACCCCAGCTGCTCCCGCACCCCCAGCCAGCTCTTCCAACCAGGGGCAATTGGTTAAGTGGGCAAAGGGAGCGAGCAGAAGCTTTATACAGGGAGTGGGAGCCGATGCAAAGATGTCCCCCGATAAGTATCCCGGTAACAGGGTGAGCTAAGACAGTAACTAAGTGTCATTTCATACCACTAAATTATGGAGTAGGAATATTCAAATTATGACATTTCGTGTTGATGGCTATGAAGCAAGTACTACACTAGTATAATTTTGTGAGTTGTAATATATCCACACACCATTTTTAGAAGGAAGGGTGTAATGACACCTAACCAGCTAAAAGCTGTAGAAAAGTCCATGCCTTCTGTCCCGTGAGTCCACCCTGGGGACCCATCTCCAGAAAACAGTTCTGCATGGGGACGCCCGCTGCACCATTTCCATTAGCAGGATCCTCGCTGCCATGGTAACCAGTGACGGGACACCATGTCCATGCCACGCACTCTGCCAGACGTGGCCATCTCTCCTCCCCCAGCTCACTCCACAGGGTCAGGTATCGCCCTCCCCCACGCCCCCAGCTTGCCCATCAGCACACTGAGGCACAGACAATTCACAGAGCTGGCCATGATCCTGTATTTCTTCAAATGGACCCCATTGTCTCTTTAATTAAATCACTAACATTGGAAGGACTCCAAATACCCAGTGATGAGGGAATCTTTAGGTAACTCACAGGGATAGTAAATAGCCACAGAAATAAAGGAGGGAAGTAGAGTTTAATCTAGTATGCATTGGTACTCATGGAGACCGGGACCCGCAGAAAGGTGGGGAGCAAAGGTAGGGAGCAGCCTGTGAGTTCAAGAGCAAGTGAAGCTCAGCCCTTGGCGCAGGGCTTCAGAGGTGGGCCACTTCCCTGGAAGGAGGATCCGAGTCGTACCACCTGCCTTCTCTGATTTGCCTTCCCTTTAGTCTCTGAGAAAGACCCTCTGCCCTCAGGGATCGACAGTCCCTCTTCTGTGCATTAGAGTGAGCCTGGAAACAGGCTGCTTGCTCTCTGGGCAGAAGCACAGCCAAGACAAGGCTGAAACATTGAGCACTGCCTCACCGCAGCCAAGGGAGGGCAACGGGGAATCAAGGTGGAGAAGGTGCGGACTGACGTAGTCTGGGCTATCACAGTGGCTCAGGGTGGCAGAGAGGATGATGTCTCCCCTTAATCCCCCTGCTGTTGATGAGCTGACCCCTTCTAGAGCAGGGCCCATGGGATGGCCTCCTTATTTTTCGCTCCTGTAAAAGTGGCCGGTTCAGGATTGGATCCCAGGCCATATGTCACTCGAGGCAAAGCTGGGGACCACCGAACTATACAATCTCCGCGGCAAGCAGTTGAGTGTCATGGCACATTTAATGCCATGGTAAAACGCAGACATACCTACTAATTAGGGTGGGCCTAAGTAGCCGATCATGTTTGACAAGCATGACTTACATCCATTCCCTGAGCAGCACGTGGTGAGGGCCACACATGTCGAACTGGGTAAGACATCATGTCCTCCCCACCATGCATCTCAGTCTGCTGGGGCAGAAAGGCAGCCCCAGATAATGGCGAGCCAAGGGTCACAAGTCCTGGTAGGGGAGGGGATGATTCTCTGGAGGAGATTCAGAAGGAAGGTTCTGCAGAAGAAGTATCTGAGCTGGAGCTCACCAAGCATCCAAAGCCAGGAGTTGAGTGAGAAAGGGATGGAAGAAAGGTCCAGGTTAGTGGGACAGCATGGGCAGGGGGTAGGCCAGGCTTAGGGAACTGAGGTCACTGGTGTAATGGGAGGAGCTCACACACACGCACACACGCACACAGAATCGTACAACGCCAGAACTGTGGGTCACAGGGAACATGCACTCTGGTCAGAAGTTAGGCTCCATGGACTAAGAATTACACGTGTGATTACATTTAGAAGAACTGTCCTTCATAAGTCCAGGATGGCTCCTCCCGGCTACCACGGCCACACTGCACTTGATACTGGCCAGGGAGGGGAGAGGAGCTTTTCCTGAGACAAAGGAGAGGGGGAGGTGATGGGCTAGAGGAGGGCCAGTAGGGGACCTACTGTGAAGGGCAGTACCAGTCCTGGCAGGGTGCCGGTCAGTGGTGTCAAGTGGGGAGCAGAGGAAGCCTGCCGGGCAGACGGGCTCATGGGCACTCCGAGACGCTGAGGTCGGAGAGACGGCCCCTTTGCCCAGCCAGGGAGCCACTGACAAGTCACGACCAGCAGCTGAATCAGAGGCCCCGCTGTCTAGGCCCACTCTGCCAAGATGATCCCAGCGAAGCAACAGGGTAGCTTTGGGGGTTCAGGGCAACGGTGTTCAAGTCTGATGCCTCCAGAGAAGGGTGCCATGCAGAAACCAGGGAGGGGGACTGATGGGGCCAGCTCCCTCGGGGCCTGAGTGACAGAAACCCTGGTGGAATGTGAGCTCCAGGAAGACTCAGATTTTTATCTATTCCTTATTTCACTGCTTTATCCCTCACACCTTGAACAGTGCTGACACATACAGGTAACTCAATAAATAGCTGCTGAATGAGTACATGGATGAACCATTGAACAAATGGAAAGATGATGGATGGATGGATGGATGGATGGATTTTGTGGATAGATGCATGCATTGGTGGGTGGGTGGATGGATGTGTGCATGCATGCACGGATGCATGGATGGATGAACAAACCGGGGGAAATGAAGAACCTAGGAAGCTAGAGACATAGCAGAAGCTAACTGGACGGGCAGGCTGTGCCCCTAGCCCAGGTGGATACCCCTAGGCAGCTGCTGCTGCTGCTGAGGTGTTCCAGCCCATGCCCCTTGGAATGCAGGGGGTGTATGCCAGGCTCCATCATGTCCTGCTGGCCTAGGCTCCCATGCCTTGGCCACAGGGTAGAGGGGATGCCAGAATGGGGGGGTCACGCGTCCTTCACACTCACTGTGTGTGTTTTTGGCTTCCAGCTCGCTCCAAAAGCCTGGTGATGGGGGAACAGAGCCGCAGCCCGGGGCGGCTGCCCTGTCCCCGCAGGCTGGGCCCCGTGCTGAAGGAGGGCTGGCTGAAGAAGCAGAGGAGCATCATGAAGAACTGGCAGCAGCGCTGGTTCGTGCTGCGTGGGGATCAGCTTTTCTACTACAAGGACAAAGATGAGACCAAGCCCCAGGTGAGAGGCATGTGTCTTGTGTCCTGGGCCATCATGGCAGGGCCCAAGGGAGGGCTAACCATGCCCAGGAGAGGGGAGAAGGCAGAGAGATCCTCCTGTCTGGGCCTCTGCTCCTCAAGCCCCCAAGCCACTGACTTCACTCACAAGTGGCACCTCATCAGGATTTCCAAAGTGGTTTTTATTCTCAGCCCCCATGTTCCGGGCATCCTGGCTTATTTTACTGAAGCAAATCCACAGCTCGAGTAATGAACGTGTCTCCATATAACGTTGGTAGAGAGCATCTCTGCACAGCTTAGGAAAGCAAGTCTTCCCTGGGTTCTTTTCAGCCTCTTGGTAACATCCCTGTTACTTCCACTGTCCAAGGACATGGGTACCCAAGACAATTCTAACCTCAAACTGAAATCTGGCTTACTGTGGAGCCCCCGTGTCCAGTGCCTCTGCTTCTCAGTGGCTACTTCCGTGTTCGGCCAGTACTGGAAGATCCACCTGGTCTGGAGTTAGGTGGGTGGGAGCCTGTGTACGTCTCAGCAGGCCTCACAGTGTGGAGCTGGGGCCTGGGGGGCCAAAAGTGTGCTCAGTGATGGGCAAAGTGGGAGGAGGGACCTGGGCACAGCCTGAGATCACGTGGCCATCACAGTAGGAGGATGGATGACCTTCTCACCCCTCTTTCAATTTTTCTGAGTATGTCAAGGGGAAGCATCAGTTGGGTGCTAGCATCTGTTTAACCATCTCCAGCATTTGGGACCCTCCCTTAAAAAATGGAGACGGGGGTGGGAAGGAGCAGGCCTCACTCCCGAGCCTTCAGTGGTAATAGCGCATAACATTCTGTCTTCGCTATTATTCTAACGGTTAACTTCTGTTTGTGGAAAGTGATACTGGTCTCCATCCATGACAGTGATACCACGTTTTCCCTTCTAAAATGTATCTAAGTTAAAATCAAAAAGCGTTGGGGCGCCCAGGTAGCTCAGTCGGTTAAGCGTCTGGCTCTTGATTTCAGCTCAGGTCATGATCTCTCGGTCATGGGATCGAGCCCCGTGTAAGCCTTCATGCTCAGCAGGGAGTCAGCTTCAGGATTCTCTCTCTCCCTCTGCCCCTCGCCATGCTTGCGTGCTCTCTCTCTCTGTCTCTCTCTAAAATAAATAAATAAATCTTTAAAAAAAAAAATCAAAAAGTGTTGCACAGCAATGTGGAGGTACTTAGTGCCCCTGTGCATGTCTCAGCAGG